GCCCTCCGTGGCGCCGGAGCTGGACCCGGAGCCCGGTGAGGCTGCCCCAATTTGTTTTTACTATAGCGATGGGAAGGTATAACAGGGCACAGCAGAGCCGCTCTTGGACCTACCTCTGCTCGGCTTCAAAAACCACTCGGAGATCTTCTGGCTCAGCAATTACTGATGCAGTTTATTTATACAGTAAAACCCATCAGCTATCTCTGGCCATTTCCAGTCTGAGTGGGGCTTCTTTTTCTTGAAGCCAGGAAGGGAGCACTGTTCCCTCTCCTTCCTTCCTCGCCGCCAGTCCTAGGCTAATCAGCCGGGTAGCTCTTTCGCCTTCGCCTATAAGGATGCAGGGGGTCGGACTAGATGATCATAATGGTCCCTTCTGACCTTAACGTCTATGAGTCTATGAGGTTCCTCTAGTTCAGTGTTTCTTAACCTTTTTTTATAAAGTGCCCCTTTAAAAAAAAATTATAAGTACTCTCGGTACCTACAGTTTTCAGACACACACATTTTTTTCTACCATTGCAACACATTTGTTTAAACAACTTGATCGTAGCCAGGCGGGCGATGAAATTTTGGGGTGTAAAAAAGGACGAAAATAATACAGCGCTGTAAAACTTACAACAAAAATTCAGTTTTCTTCACATTTCAGTTGTGTTGACGAACCCCCCTGACTTCTCTCGAGTACCCCAAGGCTACTTGTACTGCTGGTTGAGAAACGCTGCACTAGTCCTCTCCAATTTACCTCCATTAATTGGAGCTGGAGTGACAGAGAGCTGACTCAGCAATTCCTGCTCAGCATCTTGTCGCAGAAGTATCCCCCCCACACCCAGCTACATTTATTTCAAGCCACGGGGAAGCCATGTGTATCCACTAATAGCAGATTGGGGTGTTGCCAAGGTACAGATGTGCCTTCTCAGCACCAGGAATCAAAATGGGGACCGAAAAGTGCAAACAGTGAAGCAAACATTTAAATTTTTTCCTAGACGCTCTCACGTTTTCACAGAGATGTGCCAGTGCGTTCGTATTGCCTTCCCTTTTTAGCTTGCTGTGCGGTGCTATGCATGGCCCTGGTCACCGAGACAACCGCCCACTGCAAGGCGCTTGGCCCCGGCGGCCTGGACAGCCACCCTCCATGTGGTGTAGCGGCCCTCGGAGTTGGAATCACAGTGAGGCTGCCCCAGTAGGGACCGCCTCCCCACGTCCCGACTGCAGCCTCCGCGCCCCTGGCTGCCCCTCGTGCTACTCACCCTGCTTCTGTGTGAGGAACTCTAGCGGGCGAGGCTCATTCGCGGCCGGGGGCGTGGCCTGACAGAATGCCGTGGCCCGGCGAGCAGGGGTTCACGGCCCACCGCTGGTCCATCGACCGGTGGTTGGGAACAGCTGGTCTAAGGAAATGAGATTCTGTGTAAGCTATGTCACATTCTTTCATGATGGTTCTTTGGGACCATGTGCTCGCCCAGTGCAAGGGATAGATATGGAGGTCAGACCCTGCCCTTGACAGTTTACAGTCTAGACGCCGTGGCCCGGCGAGCAGGGGTTCACGGCCCACCGCTGGTCCATCGACCGGTGGTTGGGAACAGCTGGTCTAAGGAAATGAGATTCTGTGTAAGCTATGTCACATTCTTTCATGATGGTTCTTTGGGACCATGTGCTCGCCCAGTGCAAGGGATAGATATGGAGGTCAGACCCTGCCCTTGACAGTTTACAGTCTAGACGAGGCTTGTTCAACCAAAGCAATGGCAGGAAAGAACTTCCAGGGGGTGGGGGTGGGGGTAGGGGGCTTACACTG